TGGTTTTTCAGACTGAAAAACTACTCCGATCTCATTTTCCATAATCTGTCCATTATAATGGACAATCGTGAAAAAGTTATTGCTCATTTCCTTTCCTTTCCTTTCCTTTATTGTTTCTTTCTTCGAATCAATATGTAAGTGGGAAAATGTTGTGGAATAATGCTCTGTACGTGTAAAAAAATTATTTCTTTAAACAACAATAAATTAAAAAAATTAAATTTATATAATCTAATATATTATAATATACTTAAACTAATAAACTATTTCTTTATTAAATATAATTTAGTTAAAATAACAAACTAACAAACTAATTAAGCACTAATTAACTTTTTTAATATTTTAACTTAAACTTCAACAAACAACCTAATATACGTTTAAACACACTAACAAATTAATTAATATTTTTTACATTTAATAACTTAAACTAGAAACTAATTAACTAATTTTTTATATAATCTAACATATAACTTAAATTAACAAATTAATATAATATAACTTAAACTAACAAACTAATAATTTATACTAACAAACTAATTAACTAAATTTCTATTTTATCCTAAACCCTAAACTAACAAACTAATTATTTCATAATTTCATATTAATAAACTAAATTAAACAATTAAAAATTACCTCACGAACGATTTTGAGCCTTTATCTCCATTTCCTCTTCCTTCTTTTCCTTTCATTTCCTTTCTCTCGCCAAATTTTCTTTCTTTCTTATGATTCTACCCTAAACCCCTCATATCCAATATATAATGATCGTTGCACGGTTGGTAAGCTGCAATCAATTTGAGCTGTATAATTCATGTTGAAGGTTGTAAATTTTTCAACCGTTGAACGTTGTAATAATACAACACTAATTGCTGCATGCAACAGCTGATTTTATGCTACACCAATACAGCTATGATAACAAGAGTGGACAGTCTCGAAGCTATGGCATGAGGGAGCAGCTATGGCTCGAAGCTAGGGCACGAAGCTATGACACTTTGCAGCTAAAATCATACTGCAATAATATAGCTATTACAGCTATATGCATGAGGTCTCCTGAGAAGATGTAAGAGGAATCACGCGAGGAGTAGGAGGAATAGTTTCTCCTGAGCAGCTGCAAGTGGAATCACACGTGAGGAGAGGATTGTATGGCTACCTATCCCATGCCACGTTCATGGCCCATGCAAAGCACTAAAGCAGAGCAGCAGGTGGCAGAACGTTGGACGTCGGGCGTGCATGGTGACCTATAAGGTCGCTGGGCGTGCATGGCGACCTACCATGTCGCCGGGATTGCTTGGCGACCTACCATGTCGCCGGGATTGCTTGGCGACCTTGTAGGTCGTTGGGAGTGCTTGGCGACCTATGGTTGGGTTGTGCATGTCCCATGCACACGATCATTCTCATGCACACGACCCTCGTCGGAAGCCACGTTGTAGGTCACCCGGAAGGCATGGCGACCTACGGCCAACTGTGCAATTCACCCTACTTCATCAATTAATCTTGGGAGAACGTTATTTTGTGAATTATTTATTTCCAAAGCATTATATCGTGAGTTTAGCCGGCACAAACTGATGCAGTGGGAGTGCTGCTTCACATTGACGTGGGCGCTAGGTTATGCGTTTCACGTGGGAGACACTTAGGCGCTGTGGAGCATGGGCAGTAGCATGGGCAGCCGGGCCATGTCTCAGTCTTCACAGGCGTGGTGCTTGGCAGTAGCATGGGCTTCCTTGGGAGGCATGATCTGCTGCAGTGGATGAGTACTTCACTTTGGGTGCACGTGGGAGGAGTCTGTTGTTGGGTGTCTCCTTCACGTGGGATACACGATCTATTGGCAGCATATGGGTAGCTGCAACCGGATCTGGGCTATAATTGGATTGAACTTGGGCCTGTTCTTGAGCTCCGGGTTGGGTTGCTTGTAATTAGGCCCGATTTGGGCTTGTTTTGTAAATGGACCTTAGACACTTACATTTGGATTTTGGATTATACTTAGGCTTCGATTTATATATTGAATTCCAACGTGTACAATTCCAATTCAATTAAACACCTCAAGCTTCCACGATCCATCACTTAAATTAGTTCCTCATCGGTCACAAATTCCTTCAAATTAAATCTCGTTAATCTTCAAATGGATTTAAATGACCCGGACAAAATTAGGGTATTACAATTATTATTTGTATTTAAGGGTGAGTAAAATTCAATTCGACTAAAAAAATTATTATTTTTTATTTTGAGTTATTCAAGTTCATTCAAATTATCAAGTTAGTTTTTGAGTTCGAGTCAAGTTAAAATTTGAAAATTTTGAGTCTCAAAAAATTAAAAATTTAGCTGAATATTTTGGAAGTATTATGATTTGGTCCATGATTTCTTTATTTTTTCACTCCTTCCTTCATTTTAACTCATCCCCAAAATTTAAACCACATTCTTCTAAGTCATTGTAAAAATGTCTATGCATCTTCGATTTCTCTTTTTGATAGTAAATTTTTTATTTTCTCAATTTAATCCCTCAACTTTATATGATTTCATTATTATTCAGTTCCTCCTTCATTTTAAGTCTATTATTTTACTAAATTTGAACCACATGCTCCTAAATCATTGTCAAATACCTATGTATCTTCAATTGTTATAATAAATTTTTTTTTTTCAATTTTGTCCCTCAACTTTGCATGATTTCCTCATTTCTTCATTGCATAGTTCATTTTAAGTCTTTTTTTTTTATCAAATTCAAACTACAAGTTCCAAAATCATTTTAGAATAAATATGTATCTTCAGTTATTCAATTTGATAACACATTTTCTATTTTTAATTTAATCTCTTAACTTTACATAATTTCTTTGTTTCTATAATTAATCCTTTATTTTAAGTCTATTTTTTGATCAAATTTGAATCACATGCTCCTCTGCCAATATAGAATAATTATGTAACTTTAATTCATATTTTTCGATACACAATTATTATTTTTTAAATTAATTCATTGTGTAACACCCAGAACTAGAAGATTCGAGCATTACACGAAATCACCAAAGTGACTAACCATTTTTTTTACAATATTCACCTTTAAAACATTTACACAAGTATGAAACCATAATCATTTGCAAAAACGAGGACCAAAATTTAAAAGTTGATAAATAAAATAAATAATTAAAATAATACAAGTTGATTCATTTCGAATCATGACCTCTACATGTCCACTAAGTCGTCGTCATTGTACTCTGATACTCCACTAAAACTCATTCGATGATATTGTTATCCCATCGCACTTCACGGAACCTAAAATCTGTAAACGGAAACACATTTCAAACGCTGAGCTCACAAGCCCCTCGCCACACAATACCTCTTCTATACTACATACATTCATAAATAAGCATACCAATAAGTACATTAAAAAAAAGCAATACTACTATACCATCAATGATATCAAACCATCTACTCATGGTACATCCACTATCACAATGATCCAAGTCTCATGCTTCTTTTATTTTACTACTAAGGACCTCACCATGAGTATACATATATTGATCTATAACCATAATACTATGCTACTATGGATTATCATATGCTACACACAATCACACAAACACAATAATAATACATAGATGTCAGGTACTAATCATATTGGTCTTAATATTTTATTTATAAAAATATAGAAATAATATTTTATTATTAATATTGACATAAATAATTATAATATTTTAAGTTTTTTTAATAATATTAATTTTTTGTAATAAATATTATTATTTATTATATTTAATATTTATGATAAAATATTTTTAAAAAAATAACCAACCAATAAAAAATACTTTACACATCATCATTCAAAAATTGTAAAATAAAAAATTATATTTTCTTAAAATAGAATTGAATTTTCAGAATCTATTATGAGAGGAAACAGGCTTAATGAGAATGTATAAATTATAATGTTAAGAAAAAAAATGAGGTTTTAGTGTGAACATAATAAATGATAATGTTAAGCCAAATGAGGTAGGAGAAGAATGCCTTCAAGTGTAGAAAAGTAAGAAAAAGAAACAAACATGCTAGTCATTTAGGTTTGGAATGACGGAAGCCCTCAGAGGAACTTCAAAATCTGTTTTAATGATGAAAATAATATGAAAGATAGCAGCAGAAGTACAAGCTCAGCAAGTTGGGAATGTTTTCATAATAGAAAAAAAATCACAATATTAAACAAAATTTGTTTGGAATTATGTTTAGAGAATTGATTTTTAATCTGATGTCAAAAGTTTACATTTTTAGCTTTTTGCTATAAAAAATTATATTTTTATCTTTAATTATTTTATTTAGTTAATTTTCAAATTAAAACACATGTATGTATAATTATTTATTAATTACTTTTTATTAATATTTAAATTGATTGTCAGGCATAAATTGATAAATATTAAAGATCTTTTTACTTTAAGTAAAAATATTTTTTTTTTCAAAATAAATATCTAAATTATTTTTTTAATTGTGCTCTCCATATCTATATCGCACACCTGATTTTAGTAAGGTGAATCCCCATGAGATTTTTCTTAATAAAACATTTTATATATGAAAATATTATTAGTGTAATCATAAAATATTTTTATATTTTCATTATAATTTAAATTGATATATTTCAAATATCAAATTATTATTAATAAGTATAATTTAAATGTTATATTTTTAATTTATAATATAATATCTAAAATTAATATTTTATCTTTTCAGAATCAATTTTAACCGCAATTCCAAATAATTAAAATTTAAACTAAACTTTTCAAAAGTACTTTTTAAAATATTTTTTTATTAAATCAATTTTCAAAAGTAATACCAAACAAAGAAGAAAAGTATAGAAAAAGTCCAAAGTGAAAAACATGTCATAAAAATTGTATATAGAACCTTGGTTTTTTTTTTTTTTTGGAATTTAGAGGACCTTTTGAAGGATCATACTCTTATGTCAATATTCTAATGTGCATAGAAGAACTTCAAGAGCGATGAGCATCACTGAATCCTTATGCAAAAGTATTATGTTTGGAGCCTTGTACAGTGAATCCTCCAAAGCATATAAAAAGGTCTAAAATCAGATTACATCAACAGAAAGAAGAATGCCCAAAATATGTTGCAAATGTTTGAATTAGCAAACGTAAATGATCATCTCATTTTTCAACACTCAAATTGAAGCTGACAAAGTTTCACTCTCCCCACAAATTTCTAAACCAAAGGCCCTACTCTTCATTGTTCCATAAAGGATCCAGCTCTGTCACAAAGGAGTTGCAAGTCCTATTTCATCAAGTAGAGAATCAAGTTAGAACAGCTATGTTCAATGCACTGTCTCAATACGTACATAATTGTTGATATTCGATGTCACTAGAAATAAGAGTCTAGCACCCTACAAACGTAGATCACCAGAAATTATAGCATACTTTTACATATATTTTTAATAGGACATGTGATTACAATATAGCATTTGTTCGTAATTTTCTTGATCAATTAGCAATGCACATAAACACCGCAATCGTAACTATTTAAACTTAGGACCTTTACGAAAAACAACAATGAAATTTGTTTGGAGATCGATAGCATTATGTTACTGAAAATTATGCAATGAAATTTATTTGTTGATTGGGTATTTTAGTAATTTTAAATTGCTAAATAAACTAAGGTTAATGGAAAAGGAATAAGAGAGAAATAGAAATTAGCCACGTATTTATTTATATTACTTGACGTAATAATTTGAATTTAAAGACAAATTTATAATTAACATTAAATTATTATTATAATAAATTCTACAAAAAGATAAACTTAAAAAATCATATGGAATAATTAAAATGAGCCATAACACTGAGAATGATACAAATACATAAAAATGTCAAAATTCACATGTAATGAATTTGTAAGGTGTAAAAGTTTATAAATCTAAATTCATAACATTTTAAATGCATTAGGAAAAAAAACAGAAATACAGTATAAATATATTATCTCTTTTTTAAATAAGATCACTATTGAAAATTATGCAAAATATGAGATCACATAACATGAACACACAAATTATTCCCAAAATTGAGTCTATGACAATATAAAACAACACATGTTTTAAGAAAATGCATCAAAATTTATATTAAACGATTATAAACATGATATACTATTTATAATATAAGCATGTAAAACTATATTTATAAATACCGAAATCTCAATGCATATTAGAATTCCAGAAAACATAAAGTCATGTTTTGAGTATATCATGTTTTGAGTATATATCAAAATCGCTTAAGCTCAGAATAAAAATTCTAAATATGAAATTTGGACCTAGATCTTGGCTTGGAATCAAAGATGGGAGTGTGTCAAGTTTGGAAAGCTTTAAACAAAAGGAAGTTCCTCCGTTTGCAAAACTTATGCAGTGACATAAAACCTAACCAAAGTTTTCTTCAAAACAAAGTTTCATTTGCGAATGTTCAAGATTCATTTCTATCTAAAAATGAATCTTCAAATTTCATAAAATCTAAAGTTATGTTTTGAATGTTCAAGATTCATTTTCAAAAAAGGGTAAAGTACATAAATAGTCCCTGACTACAAGAACCTGACTATAAGATGTTAATTTGTTTAATATCTCGACCATTAAAAATTGTTAATTAATCATCTTGACTATTCGTATGTTCTTTGAGCTGTATAGTCGTTTGTGATTCAGAGATCAAATTTTATCATATCACGATCAATAGGGTAAGGTCATCAACTTTTAACAAAAAGAATAAGTTTGAAATATATAAACAATCGAGTAACCATTTTGTAACTTGAACCCAACAAAGCAATGACCTATCGTCGAGTAGCACACTATAGGAAGAGACTATTTGTGTACTTTACTAAGAAAACCATCAAAGTCATTTCTATCTAAAGTTTCTAGATTGGATTATTGAACAAGGCCTAGGGAATTGAAGAATAATAACAAAGCTTAGATTTTGGCATTCCCAAACTTTGATAAATTTGAATTTAAAACTACCAAGAGGAACACAAGCACGCAGCCAATTGCAGCAATTGGACGTTGAAAAGAAAAGTATAACGTCGATAGGACACATATACAATACACAATAAAAGGAAAAGGAAATACCTTGAGAGAGGCAGCTCCAACAGGATGAATCGAGGGCGATGATTGATTGTAGCCGAGCAGATGCGATGGCACTGTGAAGCGGCATCATCGATTCTAACCCTCCCAACGCCGACACAATCCTTTAAAATGAAAAATGAAGTTAAGATTTTGACAACACATTTAGATGGGAAAACGAAAAAAAAAATATACAACGGGAAGAATGAAGAACCTTGAAGCGCGAGGGAGGGCTCTTGTTGATGGAGAAGACATGGGGATTGGGGATAGGGTCTTTAACGACAGGGTTTTGGATCGAGAAGCTAGGGTTCTTGAGCCAGCCATTATTGCTGACCTGCAAAACGATGCCATTCTTTCCTAGTTTGGACACTGGGTGAAGCCGGAGGTTGAGGAAATAGGAGGCTGGTCGGTTTCTTCCTTAAACCCTAAATTTCGGATTTAGAGAGATTTTGGACTTGTTTTCAAGACTTATTTAAAACGACGCCGTAACAAATTTCAAATGTTCTGCTTGGGTCGCCAGGATTATGGACTTGTTTGAACCCAACTTGGGCTATCGAAGATTAATTTAGAATCGTGCACGTTAGAAAGTGGATTGTTTGGACTTCTAGTTTATTCGGAGTAATTAGGTTTCAAATTGAGGCTCATAATCTGAGTGCTTTGAATTACTTTGATATTTCAAAGTCCTAAGGTTCAATTTTTATTTTCATTTGAAAAGAAAAGATGACCGACCTCGAAATTGTTGAATAAATAATTACTCTAATCTCAAATAAATAATAAAAATAGTATAAAGAAGTAAATATCGAACCACAGGGATAAGGAAGTTTGATAAATTTGTTAGTTTCGATCCTTGTGTTTTAACTGTAAAAGTAAATATGGGGATTTAGAAATAATGAAAGTAAATAAATAATAAAAATAATCAATGAATAAAAAATGATGAGAAAGTAGATAAAATAAATAAGGTAGAATAATTAAATTGAGATGATTTAGTCTTAGGCTTTGTTTAGCTTAAATTTCGATCGATCATCGAAATAGATTTTCTCTCCTTGATGTACGCTGGTTACAGTCAACGAAACCTAACCTCCGCAGCTAATTCTTCTCTCGAGTTAACCCTATTGTTGAGATAAAGAATTTTAACACTGATATTGATGAGCGATTATAGAGATTTTAAATTCTCTAAACGCTAACTTAATAGGGTTTTAAAGAATATTTTGTCTCTCCCCCTCAGTGTGTGTGTGTGCAGCTTACAGAAAATAAGGGTTAAACTATTTGAAACCTATAATGTGGCTTATATATAATATCAATCTCCCTGTATCATCATTTTGGGGCTTTGTTTAACCCGCGTGCGACCTGTATCTGGTATAAGGCTTCACATTTTTTATGGTATATTTGCATGATGAAGGCTCATCCATTTGCAATTTTTCGTTTAAGCATTTAAATGAATTTTTTATTTTTAGACTTCGAGCTCTTCATTTGCGTTGTATTCCATTTTAATCCTTGTTTTTTGTTGAGTTACCTATCTTGATGTTCGTAATTTAGATGTTTATTTTTCTTTTCATTTTAGTCAATTATTTTTGTATTAGACCGAATACTATCTTGTTTGTACTTTAGATTTAAGTTTTGCCCCAAATTCAATTTTGTCACTGTTCTAATTTAATAATTAGTTTTGATTTTATGGATTTTAGCATGTTTAGTCTCCTTATTGCTTGGTTGTTATGATTTAGTCCTATTTGTAGTCTATTTTTTTTTTTTTTTGCATTGCATGGCCTACCCAAAATCCCACTCATTTAAGAGAAAAATGAAAAAGTTCAAGAGGAAAGCATGAAAGAAGGGAACATGATTAGCATTTTATCAAAAGCATTTTGACGGCATCTCATAAGTTCGTTAGTTAAAAAGTGCACTAGAGTCGATGCAAATTACCTATTTTGATGAGATTTTGAGCCTGAGACCAATTCATTTCATCTTGCTTATTTTTTTTCATTTTGATGAGTGTGTGGAATTTAGCATGTTTATTCTAGAGCTTTTGTGCGAATGTATTTAGAGACTACATTTTTGGATTGATGCTTTAAGATGAAAAGGGAAATTAGGTTTAACCTATTTCTCAAACTTTCAGAATGTATACCCATATGTTTTTCCCTTGGTCAATTTGAGTGTATTTTCTCTTTTCTTTGTTTTACCACATTTTAACCTAAAGCCTTTTTTGTTTGCTATCAATTGTTTTGCTCCCTTTGTCAAGGTAAGAGGGAAACGTTGTTTCACAAAAAAAATTAGGAAGGAAAAAATTGAAATTTATTTGGAGATATGTTTGTTAAATGTTCATTCCCTAAGTTCTTTAGTGTTTGAATGAGATGTATGAATAAACTATTAGGTAGTATGTTTGATGTTGTTATGTGGAATTGATATTGTGCACTTTAATATCTGAGTATTAAATTGTGAAACCTTTATTTTTGCCTTTATGATACCTTTACCTAAATTATATTACAACCCTTATACAGACCCTTCGATTTTTGCATCACATTCATATGTAGTGGTAGAGATTTGATTCATTTGCAAGCTCATGGTATGTGTATGTTTTGCCCTTGAGAGTTAAATACACTATAAACATTTTGAAGTTATTGAGAGAAACCATATGAAGGTGTTAAGTCTTGTTGCATTTGAAATTAGTGGATTAATGAGATATTCTGATTTTATTACAATTTTATTATATTCGTGCTCATTCACTTAATTGTCCATATGATTTAAATCATTGTTATGTGATTAACTTTATTAGTATTATGAGATGTTAAACGAGATGATAGAATGTAGATGGAATAGTTGGTATGTTGAATTGATATATACTGGAAAATAAACATTCAATAAGTGAGAAAGAATTTGATAATTGTATAATACCTATGTATTTTTAGTTTTATTTTTTTCTATTTTTCATTTGGATGTTGTTGATTTATTTATGATTGGACTTGTTTTTAGTTAGGAACATCATTTGATTAATCAACCCAAGAAGTTAAATGCAGAATCTGGAATTTTACTAGAAATCGTGACAAGAGTCATGACACAATTTGGAATAATTTTTAGATGGAATAATTTTTTTTTCTTTCCAACATTAAATTCACATAATAATATGAAAACAATAATAAATTTTTAATAGAATTTATCACCTCGATGTGAAGAGTTCCACATGAAATATTAAAATATTGGGCTCGGAACATAAAAATTATATCTCATGAAACTCGTCACGTCGAGATAACAAATTCGTTTTGGACTATAAAAAATGCCTTAGACCTCAAATAAATTTTTAAAGTGCCCTATTGGACCAAATAATTAATGCGGGTTCCCTGTTGGGCCAAAAAAACCTGATTTCTTCCTTGACGCCAAGAATGCCTTAGCTTCATTAACGAAACCAGCATCGTGGCCTCCTCTTTCAAAAAAAGATTGAATATTTATGTAACTTCAAATTTTTAACTTCAATTTTCATTTTTAACAATAATTTTTTTTACAATTTAATCTATCGATTTTTTATTTTATTCAATTTGATTTTTTACACAATCTTTTTTTACACAATACCTTATTTTAAAAATTAAAATTATAAACATATTTTTATAATTTTAGATGATATTTATTTATTAAATAAAATTGCAATATGAAGAAGAATATACAAATATATATGTATATCTAATATGATTGGAGAAAGTTAAATCAAAACAAATTGTACCATAATTTAATAAATAATTATAATTAAATTTAAATATAAATTTAAACAATTCGACTTAAATTTCATAAACTTGATTCGATGTTACCAATTCCGATGTAGGTATTTAAGATTTTCGATGCTACCATTTTAAGTGTTTAGTCCATCACGACCATTAAAAAGATCTCGCCAACCACTCAAAATGTGACACATGAAGTGCTTATAAATTTTTAAAAATATTTGAAAAAAATTAAAATTATCATTATTATTAAAAAAAAAATTAAAATTTATCTTAAATCTCAAAAAAGCCTTAAAATCTTTAATCTTAAAGCATCTACTTCGTCGTTGGCCGTCCCCTGCCATTATCGCCTACTCACCTTAGCCAGTAGATCATCCCCTTGTTGTAGGCTCAATCAAAAATTTTTCCAAATCTCTAAACTCAAATCTGTAAATTTTAAAACCCAAATCCTTAAAAACTAATCAAATTGCTGGTTGCATGGGATAGGGGTTGTAGATGGCGGTTGGTAGGTGAGTGTGTGATCACCATGGTGATGTGGTCGATGATGCAATTAATTTTGGGATTAGAGATTAGAGAGAAATTTTGGAGTTTTTTGAATTTTAGGGTATTTTCTTGATAAAGAGAAAATAATGGATTTTTTAAAAAGAAATTATGAATTTTATTTTTACAAAATAAAAGAAAATTAAAAATTAGACTATATGTCAATCATTAATTGATTGATTAATTTTTAACGAGTGTGACAGACTGTGCACTTAAAATAATAATGCCAAAAATGTTAAGCATATATTTTAATAAAAAAATTAAAAAACTAAACGAGAAAATATGTATAACTAGGACAATATCCTATGATTCAAAAAACGTGAAATATTTGAGTTATTGTTATGACTTTATGAATTTACCACATAAAATTAAATAATTTGTGTTTATGTATTAATAAAAGTCCATAGGTGTTAGAAAATACTCTAAAAATTATTAAAATTGATTTTCTATAATTATAATTATAATTACTATATTTTATAATAAGTTATGCGAATTTAAAAAAAATTTAAAAAAAAATCACGTCCGCGATACCCACAACGCGAATGCGGACTCAATTTGAATCCTGGATACAAACCTCCCTAGTGAAAAAAAAATAAAAAGCTTGAAGAATCAACAATGGATGAAATGGCCCAAGAATCAGAGCACGAAGTTCAACATCATGAAGAAGAAGACTAAGATCATAAACTCTAGGGGTTCAACAATTTATCCCTCCTCCACCTCGACAACTTCAAGAACACCACTCACCAAAATCGCCATTCATGCATCACCTGCACATTCAACCCAATGAAACGCCCTTCTTCCGACTCCAAATCGAAAAGGCCAATGGTTGAGAATCACCCCTACTCTCTTTCTCTGGCTTCTGCAAGGTCCCACTCCCACGGCTTCATCGCACTATCTCTGAACCTTTGACGCCTACAAAACTAGTCAAGGTCTTGAAAGATTTCCCATTCTCAAAAGGAAGCGTTTCTTCTTCAGTGCCTCTCAAACCCCCTGCTTTAATCAGGTCGATATCTGATCCAGGACTTCAATCCCACATGAAATGCGTGCATAATTGATACAGGAAGAGAGTCCCAGTGCCATGGTGTATTTTATATGTTTTCTTCTTCTTGGAACTCTTTTCGTGTGTTTCTTTAAAAGAATTATCTTGAGAATATTTTGGCAGAGATCGAAA